TATATATATATATATATATATATATATATATATATATATACATATATGTGTGTGTGTGTCTTCATTCAACAAAAGCCCAAGTATACTTATACAAGATATTTGATCATGCACGCTTGCCTATTAATCATATTAAAACAAATTTCTTTGTTGTTTTGAAGCATACGAACGTAAAAGGTTATTTATTTGATTTAGAATCCATTCAAGTTTCATTATTTTCTTGTTCATTTTAGGACTAAGATTTTTTTTTATGACTTTAATATGAAAATATATGTAAATTGAATCGTTAAGAAACTCGACGGATAATGATGAGGAAAAAGATAATAACGAAAATATTTCAAGTAAACTGGATCAAGATGGTATATATTTTAGCGCGTTTACATTTTTCAATTTATATAAATGTATATATATATTTTTTTTTTTGCAACGACTTCTGCGTTCTTGGCAACATGTTTTTCGACCAAGTTCCGCGGGAAGGTTGCTGGCTGAAAGTGGTCCTGATTTAATGAATTCTTAACTGTTCCAGATCTGTCCGCGTTATCGAACATTACCGAGGGATAAAGAGTAAAGTTGAACATGATGTTTTTAACATTTAAATACCACTTGGAAATAAAAATAGGTTAGGGACATTTATTTTATCTCAATTTAAATCCGGCCACCAAAAAAGTTGGATTTTATATTTAAATGGAGTGGACAATTATCTACCTGCTGACAAATTTAAGTATAAAAAAAAATTTCCAATGATGTTATATCAGCAGTTGTTCCTAAGCCCGTGAATGATATAGAGATTACTAAGCTATGTATATGGAACTCATCTGGGTACGAATCTCTGCCTTTCATAATTTAAAAAATATTTCCTTAATTTTACAGGACAGATCTAATATTATGTATATTTACATTATTTAAGTATAATGAAAATCATTAAAAAAAGAAGAACTAAACCTTGAAGGAAGAAAATAAAAAAAAACGTTATTAATAATTATTATGTATATTTTTTTACCGTTAAAAAAACTATATTATTTTTTAAATAGGTATGATCATTTTATTTTGCCTTGACTGTCCTTTCCATAATACGTTATTTATTGGAATGATATATTGAAGAGATATATTACTATGTATAGAATCGGAATTTTTCAAATATGTTGAAAAAACATATCAAAATATATATCGGGACTTGGTATTTGATTTATCATCATCTCGAAAAAATACTTGTATATGGATATATAGGCATACCGGACCTCGTTTTATATGTATGAACATAGTAAGAATTTAAATATATATACAACTATTATATCGATACATATATTATCGATAGCCATTGAATACATCGAAATTTCTATAAAACCCTTGATATTTTGGGTATCTTTGAAAAAAAACAACAAAAAATTGAAGTTGAATAAACTAAAAAAAACAAACTTTTTACTACGAAATAGAAAACAATGAATTAAAATGCTCAACATGAAAAAAATAAGACAATACAAGTTTCAATAATAACGACTATTAGCTATAAAAAGAATTTATATTTTTATTAGATCGCCGTAAACCTATGACCTCCTGCCCTACAGCATCCTTTAATAATACCCCACTTATCCCTCTATAACAAATCCGACACCTTGGATAAACGTCTGATTACTCCAATACTTACTAGACAAACGCTCTAAGCATCCATTTAATTAGAAAAGACTCATATGCATGACTACAATAAGAACTGTTTGGACTTAACGAGTTGAGCTATGGGGATCCACTAAGCCATCGAATTCCTCTCGTATCCAATCCTTATAATCTAAAATCCTTCGGAAAACCCTCAATGCTCCTTACTTTGTCACCAATAAAATAATCCATAATGACCTTAATGTTCCTTATGTTTCCAATTTGGCCATTTCCAGATACTTATTCTTCCATAATAAACTTCAGAATCTTCCGAATCCTCTCGTCGCTAACCTTGCTTGCTCTTCTATCTTTGATAACACTCCGAGTTATCTGAAAAAAAGATGGCCTCGAGATCTCCTATTGTAAATTTGCTACCAGTTGGTAGTTTCCCAACAAGTGATTTCATGTTATTATTTTCTGTTGTCAAATTTACTAAATGTATTTTATTTATTAATACAGTTGTAAATATTATAAATAAATAATAATATTTTTATTAGAAATAAAAATAATCTACTATGAATATATAAAAAAATATTAATGAAACTAATATTTCTCAAGTAGTTTGTTTAAAAATAATCACCTTTTAAGTGTAGGAAAAATATAGACATCTTAATTACTTTTTTGGGATAAAGATGTTGGTTTTCGATATTCAAATTTCGTAATATCCTTCAAAATTTGTGTATATAGATACATAAAATATTGATATTTCGATACATCGTTATTTTCCCAACATCCCTAGTTCTTTATTCATTCCGATAGTGTTTCATGCCTAATCCGAAACGCTTCCAACTTAATTATTTTTACCTAATGCAGGTCACGCAACTAGGCCTTGTGTAGGTTTTTAAATTATCCGATTGATTCATCCTTCTCCTTTCCAAAAATACAATTCTTTTTTTTTGTTTTTTGTTTACAGCCTCTTTGGTTATTGTTGCCTCAATATAAACGGCCATTTTTGGATTTTACTTACTTACCTGTAGGTTCGTAAATTATAATTTTTAAGTTTCAAAAATAAATTAAATAATTTTGTCCCTTCGCAAGAACTGTTCACTTTCACCAGTTCCAGGATAACTAAATTTATTTCTATGATGTTTTAATTGTTGCTCATTTTTAATTCAAACATATGAATCTTTACATGTATGAATCTTTACATACATGAATCTTTTATTAAATAATTCATGTTTATGTAGCATGATACTTATCTACAAACTAAACTTTGTCAGGCATATAATTTTTATAAAATATTTATTTTTTAAGCTCTTCAGAGTATTTTTTTCTTTATAATCATTGCCTTCTGTAAAAGTTTTATCGAATACATTTAAGTAAATTTTGAAATAGGCGTACCACATTCAAGGGTTTCCCAGATCATGGCGGGTCACAATTGTATCCTTCTCTGTAATACTTATTTAATTAAATTGGGTATGATAAATTTTGTTGTATTTGTGACTTAAAGCCCATTACCTTCTTGGATAGGTTTATAGAAGAAAAACGAAGAACAACATACTACAAAGAAAAACGTTGATGGGTGCATATATGAAAAGTACACGTGTTCACATTCATTAACATCCAAATGGTAAAGCGTTAATTATCACCTCGTATTTAACTCAATAGTATGGTAATAAATGCAAAAATTAATTGCCCAGTATTTTTTTTTTAATGGCTACACAGATGTTAAATAAATTGTGTAATGAGATGTGAAACCACCTACGGCTGTGGCGTCCACCTGCGTGGAGTTGAGCTTTGCTCTTGGGTGAAAAATAAGGTGCCAAGCGAATAAGGAAACAATTAGAGATTTTATCTCTTTCGTTTGGATTCAGCGATTCCTAGTTTTTCTTAGGCTTTGATTAATAATTCTGCTTTCATAAGCAATTAGGTACTAACGAATACATATTCGAAACACTTAGTTATGGTATATAGACAAAATAACGTTTGAAATTAACATTCAAGTTAATAACACTACTAGAAATTCTATCAACGTTCCTAGTTGTTGTATAACAAGTATCTGTCAGAATGGTTGATTTCTATATTGATATTTTGACACAAACTCGAAAACAAACAAATTTTATTTTTATCGTGCTTTTGTTTTATTGGAGACATGACATCAAACAATAGTAAATTCATTTTTTTTTTTTTTGTATCAATATGTGAAAAAAAGAAGCAGAAACGATTATTAAAAAAAAATCTCAATTCTTTTCCAATGATCTATCGAGGACACTGAATAAAGATGAGTTTGAGTCCCGTATCACAGAACAATTATTAGATTGTCAACGATGAGGAGCTTGTATCCAAGAATAGTCGATTTTTCCCCGCTTATTTATTGTATTAATTGAGAAAGAAATTTAAGTAAAGTATAGGCTCTAATAGTCTCAAACATTTAAACTGCATTCTCTCCGATTGGGCTGATCAATTTTCTTTATGAAGTACAGGATCTGATACCAATGAGTTTTAAGAGTACAAGACACGAGGAAATAAAGGATTTAATTAAAATAAAATATACAAGAAACTATCATTAAATCTGTTTGTATGATCTTCATGTTGTTGGCCAGACTCTCTACCAATATAGTTTTCTGTTTTTGTTAATATTATATCTTACTAGTGGGTACTCTATGTAAGATATAATATTTAATTGTACTATTCTCTGCTAAAATTGTATAACTTTAATTTACATGTATTATTTTATATCAACATAAAATAAACTGATCGAAACCACAGATCTGATAAATTCTTAATTTCTTTAAAAATCTATACTATACATCCCCTTATTGCCTATTTATATAATTATAATTATTATTATTATCAATTTGTGACCATAATACTCAACTTGTCCAGCTTCATATAAGCCCAACAATAATTTAAGCCTTTTATTTCTAATATTTTCATAGTTCGTGATGTTGTGATTCCTTTTATATTTCATCGTAATTATAATTATATCACAATATAATATAAATAATATTATATATAAAATAATAATTAATATATTATATTCAAGGGGAAATGTTTAGATCGACAAATAACTGATGTCATCAAGGTAAAATCAAACTTCCAACTCCAGATGAATAAATACTATTTACCGTGCCAATTTTTAGCCTAAAATCTATAATTTGTATTAGGAGAGTATTAGGCAACAGGAGCTCAACACATATATAATTAAATGAACAGCTGTGTAATAAGTGCTAATTACAGAACTAATAGGGAAACTCCTGTGGCCTCCTACGCTCCTAATACTAAAATAAAATATGACATACACTAAAAACTTTTTTATATCATTATCTTATCAAGAGGAAAAATAATATGTTTACCGATTTCACATTAATTTTTATTAAGGGTATACTGTTTATATTGTCGCATTAATACACCTACTTCGGCTGTAATGAAAATTTGAAGCCGTTGGGGTACCGACCTTGCGGCCAGCCGAGGTAACTGCTAATGAGGATATTCAATTTATGGACCCGGCTAACTAGAACCCGTTCGCTCAATTGAAAACATTGGCGGAGAATGGGTAGCTGATCCATCACACCTCCGATGGTCGCTGGAATTGAGCCATCATTGGCGATCCCGGTGGGCCGCCCTATTTTCCCAAACCAGTCCCACAAATCAGCGGGGGTCGTCCCACCTGTTACCCTCATTCTATCACCTTCCTATTTATTTTCTCTTTTGTTCCCACATTCCATTCTCCTGCGATTCGTAGGCCTCATCCAATTAAAAATGATGTTTGAGATTTGATAACTTTAGTAACGAATGCGTTGGGATTAATTTGGTAGTAATTGTACAAGGCATGTTCAATTTTTAAAACTAAAAGCATTCATTACACAATATTTGGAACATTGTTAAAACTTACTCTAAACTTTGAAAAAAAATCAAGCACACACATTAAGCATTGTGGCATCTGTAGTATCAGATAACAATTATTTTATATATACTTGATTTTTTTATATGGTGCACGGAATTCTCAGCAGCAGTGGAATAGCCCAATTAAACTCTTTTTTAATATATTGAAGAGAATTTGGTTGGGGTGTTCAGTCAAAAATAAACAAATTACAAAAAAATTGAATGATATTAATTTTTGTTGAATACTTAATAGTTGACCGTTGTATTATTAAGGAAGGATATGGTCCGGGGTGTTCCATAAATAGACTAAATAATGGCAAAACTGTTTTATTAAAAGCCAACGTTTCGACCCGACTTTGCAGGTCTTCTTCAAGGAGGTGTGTTCAGCAAGGAGTTTCAATTAGAACTGATTCACTTAGAACTGATTCACTTAGAATTGAATATATCATTTACAATTACTACTAAATTAATTCCAACGTGTTCGCTACTAAAGTTATCAATTTAAGTGAATCTCCTTGCTGAACATACCTCCCTGAAGAAGACCCGTTAAGTCGGGTGGCTTTTAATAAAATAGTTTTGCAACTATTTAGTCTATTTATGACCGACATCCCGGACCACCTCCTTCCTTGATATTTCTGTTTATATTTGCCGACGTTGTAGCCCAAAGTTTAAGCCTTCATCAGGGCTAAGAAAATACCAGATAGCAATATGAGAAACTATTAACTGATGAAAAAAATAATTAAAAATAATATTAATAATAATAATGTAAGGAACATATGAAAAACAAAAATAGAGATAATGCTGTGGATGATGAGATAATTAAAATTGTGATGGATGGCGTTTTTTATATATATATATATATATATATATATATATATATATGTTTTAGGATATATATTTATTTCTAGGAGCAATAATTATAGGGTTTTCCTATGGCACATTCCTGCATATAGCTGTGGCCATTAAATGGTGGAGCTGTGCCTTGATCTCAAAGTACCTCCTTTGACAGAAAGTCGATCATAGTGGTTAAATGTAATATTTTATTTTGCAAAATAACTAATTTTAAGTCCTTTGATAACTTTTTAGTAAAAAGGTTAATCAAAATCTTGGAATAATTGAACAAATGCGAAAACCAAAGTTTAAATTTAAGGACTCTAATTTAACTTAAAATGATTTCTTTTTTAAGGCTGTCTCCGAAATGCTCACCGTTGAGGGCTCTTTTTTTTTTTAAATTTTCATTTAGTTTTACTCTGAATTATATCCGAATGTTTATAGGTAAGTTATTTTCTAGTTTTAAGAGGTTATATTAAACTCTGCTAGTGAACAGTAAGAACAGTTTTAAAATAAATAAATAGTTGATATTAGCTTTTATATTTTTAATTAACCACATATGGAACGCTAATTAAAACTATAATCTGGTAGGTTGTCTGAACATCATAAATAACAAGCTATTTTTCGTCTGAAAATTTATTGTTATCCCTTATTTTTACTTTCAACCAGTTATTCTATAATTGCTATTTCATATTTGCTCTAAATCTCGTTAGAGCGTAATAAAGACAAAAAAAAATACAATACATAAAAGTAATTTATAATAGTAGTAACCAGCCAAATAAAATTATGAATCTGTACAAAGTAACAACTCTATTTCTTCTTTCGACATGTAATATGGCTTCAATGTCTTACGTAATTCCTTATTTACAGATTAGGAAATAGTTCCAACTCAGGAATATCATAATTTGACCCGAGGATTATTGAAAAGATGTTGAATTAACATATGTTTTATTTATTCATTTATTTATTTCGAATCGAATTCGAACTTTACTATGTATTTATTGCTATTATATTTTACAATTATTTTTCCAATAAAATACCCCTAGTCTATAGTATAAAATCACATTCTCATAAAAATATACTCATTTGATGATTTTCTAATCCTATGTTCAATAGCTTTGAAATATTTTGAACGGTATTTTTTTTTTCACTTTTAATCATCGAAATCATCAGATACAAAAACACAATACTGGTTCAAACAAATGGAATGGAGGGGAAACATCTTTAAGGTCCACTTCTCAGTGGTACCTCATGTTTTGTATTGTAACACCAATTGATGCCATCTGCCTATATAGTGCCCTTACTCAAATAAGCGTAGTTTCCAATGACTTTTAATACTAGTGAATGAGAAGAGCTGAGATTTCATCGAGTTAGTAGCTCAACCACTTCTTATCCGGAGGTGGTAGTAGTTTTAAGGATATAAAGCACTATATACTTTTGCACAAGTGAGAAGACAAGCTGGTATTGAATTTCGCTCGCTGATTGTAAATTATCAATTAAGTGTGCTTGCAATGGAAACGTTTAGTTTACTTATTTGCCATTAAGCTTATTTCTTAATTTTTATATTTTATGTTTATATTTATTTATACTATTATGGTGACCTTATTTCTACTGTCCATAACTATAAGGCCGATTTATCACCTTAGTTTTTTATTAATTTTATCATTTTAAAATACAGCGTTTCGACATCGGTTAGATTATTTGCTAATCTAGGGTCATTCCCATGTCTGCAAAATGTATATATGTAACTATTCTGAAAATTATACACATAAACATAAAAAAAAAATTATAATTGACATATATGACAGTCACTAATTATCTGCTTATTATATCAATTTTATTGATAAAATAAAACTTCTGTCAATTAAGGTCAGTATAGCTTCCTCACCGTTTTCATTGGATGAACAATATCTATATTTCAAGGTTTATAATTTTTCGTTTGAGAATAAAATTTCCGGAAGAAGCCGTTTACGGAAGTATAATAATATCTCAATATTCGCAGGTTTGTTGTCCACAAATTTTGTTCACCACCGAATAGTAAAATGAGGAAGAGTTCCATATTAAAAGGATTTTATTAGAAAACACATTATAAAAGAGAAAGTAATGGACAGAATTCATTAAAATTAACACCACATTAATTTTTCACAAATATCTACCTTTTATCAAACTATGAGCGAAACCGAACGAGCCGTTTTTGAAGTATTGGCATATCAACAAAAATGCATTTGCGTGTGTGTAAGCGGTAGTGTTGAATGGAATTTGAAAAAATTGATATGCTACCATCTAGACACCAACCCGCACAATCCCTAAAAAAATCATTAAAATTGGATAAACGGTAGTAGGTGATATGCCCATTACATCGATTTGACTACAGACGGTCAGACACTGAACCAAATTGGATCTTTGGTGTCTGAAACGTCAAACGCATGTGGAAATTTCCGATTTAGAGCACACAAATTTTTTTAGCCTTTCGTACAAATACAATCTTCGGTTGTGAGGAAGCAAAACTATGGTTGTGAACAGAGGCTATTTTAAAATGTAGTCTAGAAGAACTCTTCTGCTAGAATATCAGAATAGAAAATTTTTTGGTCGATCACAATGGTTCATTATTGAAAATAATAAACCAAAAATAATTTAAAATCGCGATATCTCTACAAATAGGGCATTGATTTCCATGAAACTTCCTTCATTTTTTAGGAAATTTGAATACATTTGAAACATCTTATCACAATATCAACAAAAAAGTATATGCTTTTTGAGTTATTCGGAGTTTAATTTTACCATCCCTCGTAACTTTTTTTCCATCTCCTTTTCGTTTAAGTATGTTATATAGGTTAATTTAAAGGGCGTCGAGAAAATGACTTTAGCGAAGTTTCATTGAAATCGGTACATTCGCTTATGCGCTACAATCTATACCACCGCAGGTTTTTCGGCCGCCATTTTGAAACTAAAAGGCGGATATTAATGTCGATGAAGGAGGATCATCCTCGGGTGAACTCTGATTTTATATCCAAATTTGAAAAACATCGGTCCAGTAGTTTCGGAGAAAATGCACGGACGGCCAAACGGATAAAACAATTTTTATTCATTTTTCGAATTCTACGTATCCTGAAACGTAAACTCTCAAATTTTGAGAGAGGGTTAAGTTTTTGAATTTTTTGGTCGATTACAATGTTTCATTATTAAAAATAATAAACCAAAATATAATTATATCTCTGGTTGGAAAGTAATCTAATTATTACAACAATTTTTAGCCCTATTATGATAAGCGTATTTGTAACTTGAATATGCAGATGAAGAAATCGCTCCCATTGGGTCAATATTGTCTGTATTAAACGCGTTCTAGTTACAAATCGCGCACCAAAGGACTCTGAAATTGTGACTTAATAAATCAAAGTGTTTTAAAACTTATACCATTATGATATTTCAACTATCAATACGGTGGGTATAAAACAGGTCTCGTAAATAACAGCCAACGCTAACAATACCAGCGCCCCGCTGGCAACAGTTGGATTATTGCCATAAAATGTAGGATATGTGAATGAGTTTTTCATGTTGGTAGGGCCAGCATGGGCCAGAGCGCTAGTTGGTATTGTGAAAGCCCCCCCTCCCCCCCCCTAACCTTAATGCCAAATCATAAGTGTATTGATGAATGTGGCAGGCTAACCTTAAGACCTTATTTACGTAAGTATCACTCCTGGAGTCTGATTTCGTTCGGAGCTACCCTCTTGCGCAACGCTTCCAGGGAGCCTTGATGAAAAGATACCTCTGAGATTTATGGATTCCGATTCCTTTGGCTCGGGCTAATGTATTTGGGCACTGTTCAATTTCATAATGGATCTGGGCTATGTTAATTCGTCTCTTTTCAATAATACTCGGGTCAATAGTTCAATCGTTCAATAAACTTACAGCGGTAATTCCTCAGTGGCAATTATTGCCTAATCTGTAAATAAGCTATTGCGTAAAA